TAGTAGATGTTGCAATATAAAAATTTTTTAAATATATAACTGCCACAATTGTCACATTTAGGTCAGAGATTTAAAATGTCTTGTCATATTTGTGTGTTGACTAACTGTCTGTCAACAGTTTTTATATTGAAAATATAAAAATTGATAATTGATAATAAGATAATTTTAAATTTATCAAACATTTTTATATTGTAACATCTACTATTGTGTTTTTGTGTACAACTGAAAAGAAGACTTAAAAATAAAGTCGAAACGATTTGTTAAGATCATAAACATGATGAATTACCGCAATACATCCTGCATCAGTTCCCAATAGCCGATTCATTCATCGTATTCCTTAAGAATATATATATTATATATATTGTAAAATAAAATATATAAAGTACATTTCGACTTGCTCATGCATGTATTTTAAGCTGTTTTATACATTTTCTACGTTCGCGCAAAATATACGTACACGCAAAGTCGCTGGTCGGAATCACCAACGACAGACCGCTAGTTGAGGCGGATTTGATGACGGATCGAGATTTCTGTCGCGAAGACGGTAACACAGACACGGCGCTGAAGGACTCGAAAGAGTCAGTGCTGGAATTGTGTTTGCTTTCTTCCATCATGTCTTTATTCGCCGCTGCAAGATCCAATCTGTGAGCAAAATAATTTACGTACAGTTAGTGGCGGCGGCATTTTTAACCCTTCCAGATCAGACTGTGAATCTTCAAGACCCACTCAAAAATTTTAAACCGGTCTATATAGTAAGTTAGGTTAGTAGATTAATTAGATTAATTTAGCGCTACATCTAAAGAGTATAGTAGATTAATTTAGCGCTACATCTAAAGACCCTGAAAAAAAAAATTTTAAGGCCTAGACAAGACAACGGTAGAAATCGTTGACAGCGTCATTCGTTCAATAGCTTTGCGAATATATTTAATTGTGAAATGTGAAAAGTGGGTCTGAGAGACCCACAGATCTAGCCAAGACGTTGGCTTTTCGAGAAATAAGTAAATTTTTTTTTCAGTTTGAGAACTAAACTAACGTATATTAATTTCTTCTATATATCTGTGTGAAAGCACTTCTATATAAGTTAAATAATTGATGTTCTTTTTCATAATTTTGTCAAACTATATGTACATTTGCAGCGCTTTAGGGTTACGGCGCGCAGATTGTGCAATTTGCGGTTACAGAAGCTGCCACCCGTGGAATGTTTGCAAAAAATTGTTTTTCTTAAGGTATTACCCTCACGGGCGCGGTGGAGCGGAGATAGTTCTATCTCACTTCAATTGAGGAAATGGCAACGTCGCTCTTTCTCATACTAATCACAAAATCGCTCGTTTTCTGTGTTATTTTAATTCTTACCGAAAAACTGTACGGCACAGGCGTCTGACGTTTCACACATATTTTCTTTGTAGTTTAAAGAAGCTGTAGTAATATTTTTAGCCAAATCTGAAAATTGGAACTCTAGATATTTAGGTAAATGTGCACGTGATTTCCTCATTCTCCCTATCACTTCCACGTTAAATCGTGCAAAATTCATTTTTGATTTTCTCAAAAACTGTACGGTACAGGCGTCTGATTTTTCACACATATTTTCTTTATAGTTTAAAGAAGATGTGGTAATATTTTTAGCCAAATCTGAAAATTTGAACTCTAGATATTTAGGCAAATGCACGTGATTTCCTCATTCTCCCTATCACTTCCATGTTAAATCACGCGAAATTCGTTTTCGATTTTCTCAAAAACTGTACGGTACAGGCGTCTGATTTTTCACACATATTTTCTTTATAGTTTAAAGAAGCTGTGGTAATATTTTTAGCCAAATCTGAAAATTTAAACTCTAGATATTTAGGTAAATGCACGTGATTTCCTCACTCTCCCTATCACTTCCACGTTAAATCGTGCGAAATTCGTTTTCGATTTTCTCAAAAACTGTACGGTAAAAAAATCTGAAAAAATTCAGGGGTTCATAGATCAAGTTTTTAAACATTGTGTAAAAGTTTAAAGTCAAACTGAAAATTAGAAAACAATCGAGGGTAATACCTTAAACGCTTATATCTTTGAAACTACCGGAAATTTGTCCAATCTGTTTTTTTTTAAATCGAAGCACTGTTCAAACTTTCTATTTAAAAAAAAGAATGTCAAAATATTGATTTATTATTAAAAAATATTGCACATCAAAGTTGGGTGCTAGAAAAATGCATTCTTCGAAAAACGTTCCAAAAGACCCGTTGTGAAAAAATGTTTTTAATTTTTAAATCTTTAAAAGACAATTTTTCTCTTAAAAGTACAAACAATTCTCTACAAAACCGCATTGGAAATTTTGTAAAAATCTTAATTGCAAAAAAACTGATAATTTTCAGTGGAAAAATTGTTTTCACAAAAAAATTGTCAGGTTTTTCTTTATATAAACGCTTGTATCTCTTCGAAACGTATAGACAGTAAGTACTTATATGTCTGTGCTTTGAAACCACTAGAGAAATGTTTTCACTTTGTGTTTTTTTAACGACGCAGAATTGTTCAAACTTTTGATTAAAAAAAAAAAAAAAAAATTTGATTTTTTTCGCGAAGATATTTGATCTTAAAGTCGCGCGGACCTCACAGACCCGGTCTGACCAGCTTGTAGGTCATTTTTGAAGTCTGACCTTGAAGAGTTAAATTCGTTAAAAAAAATGAATGGTGAAAGTGTATATTAGAAGTGTGTTAACAGTAAGTATGACTGTTGATCACCGTTTGATTATGTGTCAATATGTGAAAAATTGGAACTTAAATATAAATTAAAAACTAAAAAAGTGAATATGTATGTAGAAAATTAAATAATTAAATGAATTAAATTGAATATGAGTAGATAAATGAATGGAAAATGAATGGAAACACTGAAGAGAGAGAACTAAATTGTTGGAGGATGAATGACTCACATGTGTTCATCATCAATGGATATACTGAACCTGGGCAGCTTATCGCGAGAATGTCGCTTCCTCTGGATCTGAGGACTGATATCTTCGGATTCGGTTTGCGAGGACTCGGGTGTACTCAGATTAATCGATGCTCCTTCCGCCGGAATGTTTTTAACCGTCAGCTGGAACTCGTTGTTCGACGAAATCGCGGTATTCGCAACGGGGATCGCAATGGATGACGATGTAACATTTGATTTGTCAATTCTGGTTTGATTCTCAACGCAGGAACTGCTCTTTATCAACGAGAAAGGTGGTCTGTTGTGTTTTTCTGAGGATAATGTTGATTGAGGCTCGGCTAATTTGGATGGCGGTGTGACCGACATTGCGTTCGACCCAAGGGACAATTGCGCAACCGAGCCTTCAAGCTCGGTGCGAAACAGTAGTTTCTTGGTAACATCCAACTCCGTGTCAGGATTGAACTGAGGCGGTCGCGTTTGCGAAATTTTACGCGATTGTGGCGAGTAAGAAGAGAACGATCCGAACAAGGGAGAATCATCGGTATCGTCGGTGTCGTCGCCCAAGTCGTGATTATATCTATCCATGCGAGCTGGAATATTACAATTAATTAAGTTGAGATAAACTGTGATTATATATGTATAATAATATTGCAATAGTTGTGTGTTTTTATGCTTACAATCAAAATAACTTGTATCCTCATCGTTAACTAGTTGTGGCACAAACTCAGCTTTTTCTCTGAGTAAACTATTCCAGTTTACTCCATAAAAATATGGATGTTCCTTAACCTCGTGCGAACCACCGGTCCCCAATCGATCTCTGGGACTTTGATGTAAAAGAGCGGTTATAATATCCTTTGCCTCGGGTTGAACAGGCCAATCGTCCTCATCCGGCCATTCAATGTCATCTAAGAAAATGATTTTAATTAATATTAATAATATTAATAATATTACTTGTTTTTTGCATTAATTCCTGTTTGTGATAAAAATATTTCATAATGCACATTTCGGCTGCTTAATATTTATATCAATAATTAAACTCTTTATTGATGTAACAAGAAAATTTACCATTCACTGTGTGAGCAAATAATTCCTCGGGCGTCTCGCCAAAAAATGGAACACAGCCTATTAGAAATTCATACAGGATAATACCCATAGACCACCAGTCAACCGGTTTACCATATCCCTGACGCAATATGACTTCCGGAGCAATATATTCCGGTGTGCCGAACACTTGCTTATCCGAAAACTGTCGTGTATCTCGATCGATGTAACCCTCGTAGAGATTTGTTGCCACTTGAAATTAAACAAAAGTACAAATTTATGATTTTTTTCTTATCTTATATTTTTAGGTTTATATTATGTCATTATTAAAACTTGTTTTGTCATATTTACAGGACATTAGACCCATTTTACTGAGGCCGAAGTCAGTAAGCTTAATGTGACCCAAGGCAGTGATGAGTAAACTATTAACAAACCAATTCGCAGTTAATTTACTATTTACTCTCTATATTTCTATAAATACTCTTTTATATAATATATTAGGTCTACCGGAAAGTTCTGTCCGTTTTTGGAATAAAACAAATTTTTCTTAATTTTTCAAAAATGGGATATACAAATTGCCCTCACGCTGGCAAGAAATCATTAATATAATAATGGCAATTATATTATTTAATACAGTTTTATTGACGGTAAGAAAAATTTATGTACTTTGTTTTATTCCAAAAACGGACAGAACTTTCCGGTAGACCTAATATTATAGTAGTGGAACTCCATGTATATAAATCGGAAAGAAAACAAATAGAGATTCGCATGATTTTTGCGGCCTCTACTGTAACTATACTTGCGCTTCTGATTTTTCAAAAAATATTTTAATATTTTTTGTAATTTTTGCAACTCAAGTATGAGTCCGAAACGTCTTGTATCTTCCATGTCATAATTTAAATCGTAAATATAATAAAACGTCCACTTTGCTCGCAATTGAGCCTTTTTATACATTTCGTTGAAAAAAAAATCTCGTTTATATATAAATGGAGTACATATATAAACAGAATTTCATTACAATCTTACTTGTCAGGCTTTAAATCCCGATGTACAATGCCATAACTGTGTAAATATTCAACAGCCAAGACAGTTTCTGCAAAATAAAATTTCGCCATGTCTGGCGGCAATGGGCCTATGTTTTTCAAAAGATTCGCGCAATCGCCGCCCTCCACATATTCCATAACTAAACATAAGTGTTTCTAAAAAAATAATATGAAATTCTTAGTGATTTTGTACATTACTGCAAAAAATTTATATATGTTACAAATATATATATATATATCTTACAAATAAAAACAAATACGTACTTTGGTTTCAAAACTACAGTACATAGAGACAACAAATGGATTATCGGTAAAACTCATTATGTCTCTTTCGGCGAACACTTGCTCCACTTGATTCCGCAGCATTAAGTTATTCTTATTAATTTTTTTCATGGCAAATCTCTGTCGAGTGGTTTTCTCTTTCACTAAATATACCGCACCGTATGCACCGTTGCTAATAAGCTTTAGTACTTCGTAATCGCTTTCGCATGGAACACGCTGACATTTGCCGTCATCTTTGTTTGGACTCGATGTCACTTGTAAATTGCTGTCGCTAGAGCTCGCCGAATCTTCCAATTTATTTAAATCTTCCTGCAACTCTGTAGAAAAATTAGCGTACGATTAAAAAACCTGTTGCTCTTTTTATATTTTTTAAAAGTAGAAAATATATATATAGAAAAAAAATATCTATACCAGATATAGGATCTCTGTTTAAGGAAAGTTTTGTAATAATATATTGCGGAATGTCTGTTTTTATTCCCGCGTTAACTTTAGCTTGACCTTCCGCTTGCTCGAGCAAATGGTAAAACTCCTCAGGATCGAATTCTAAGCATTCTAACAGACGAGCTGGACGTGATATAACCAATAAGAGCTTTTTTATCAATCCTGTTAGTCTTGTTGCAGCCTCTAAAGATTTTTCTTTTGTCTGTAAAAGAAATAAAATTATTTTTAACATTAAAAAGAAATAGAAAAAAAAAAATTGAAAAAAATAATTTGTTAAAATTTCTGTGTAAAATATTACAAACTTGTACATACTTACCTCCATTAACAGACGTTCCAGATTTTCGCTCATCTCAAAAAAATATCTCGTTGTAATTAATTTTTCCTGAGATTTTTGTAAGCAGTCTCTAGCCATTTCGATTACTTGGTGATGTACAAAGCGTAAAATTGGCAATGAATCTTGCGCCATGTTAGCCACTACCTCGTATTCATCTAACTCTTTATTTTCGTTGATAAAATTGGTTAGCCGCTCTTCCATTTGTTGTGTTGCCTGAATATATATTATTAAACAATTAATATAAATTTAATAATTCATAAAAGACATTCTCAAACGGAAGTCAAAAATACAATACCTTCGGAAACCTTTCCTTGTATAAAGTGTTCATCATAACAATTTCACTGTCCAGAACAGGCGATCGACTTGGACTACTGCAATTGTATTAGAATTTTAATATTTATACTATGTATAAATTTTTTTCAAAATTTCTATTAAAAATAAAAAAAACTTTAGATTTTGATCTTATGAATTATAAAAATATTATATAAATTGTTTATACGTGACACCTTAAACTTCGAGAACGTGGACGATGTAACGGCGATCTACGGCCCTCTTCCTCAAGGCTAAGAGACACGCTGCCCGGAATACTAGATACGCTAGAACCTGGGAAACCCGGATGCGACGAACACGGTGTCCCAGGTTTAGAAAAATGACAAGATAACATACGCAGTTCATCCTTGGTGGGAATATTTGGCAGTTGATGCAGACGTTCTTGGCTCGAATATTGTGACTAATTGAATACAAATGAAAAAATTACAATATAGCGGTGTTAGAGAACGGATAAACAGGACGCGTTCAACCGTATCGCATACCAATCATTGACTCACCGAAACATTGCTGGAGCCAGGTGTTGTTCCATAACCGCTGGATGGCAAACTAGCAACTGACCATCTTCTGCCATCGCCAGTTCCTGTAGCACCTCCGCCAATCCTTAAACGTCACAACAATACATTTCTTTAATAATAGCTTTCTACGAATCTCATACAAATTAATATGTGTGTCGTAAAAACATCTATCAAGAGACATTTACGTTAACACGTTTCGACGTTCATATTATGTACAACTTACAAACAATTTTTTAACAGACTCTTATTTTGTTTCTTCATAAGCTTTGCACAGTATGGTCGTTGTATCACCATTTTTTTTTTTTTCTATTCTATTTATAAAGCACGAAAGATATATAGTGTTTTACAACGACGACCTTACCTATTCTCTCTCTCTTGAGCAATCGAATTTATTATATCCTCGGTCAATAAAGTGTATGAAGTAAATACCTTTTAATTGGAGCAAAAGCAAAGTGTGGACTGGATGACATCCTAGGACTCTCTAGAGGACTGCCTACAATCGGGACGAATGCTATATCGGGAAAAAAACAAGCAGTAGACCAAATTAATCTGCTATAATAAACAATCAGGTAAATAATAAAAAGATTTTCGCTAAATATAAAGCAGAATTTTTTTACCGGGATGCAGATTTTTATTGAACATCTAATTTATAAAAGATTTTGTGTGTATGCGCAACGCATATGTAAATAATAGAAGGGAGAACGAGATAGAGAAAGAGGAGAAAAGAATAGAATTACGATTAAAAATACTCTAGATCTAAAAAAAATTTTATATACACATATATTCACACAAACTATTGTTACAGAAATACGTGTTATTTGTTTCCAAAAACTTGAATAGAATCAAGAATAATATTATTTCAAAAAGACACACAAAAGTAAATTGTTAGAAACAAAAACAATTACATTACCTGATAAAGGTGAGTGACAACGCGGTAAAGTAGGCGATGTGGTCGCAATGAAAGACTTGCGATGAGCCGCTTTAGCAGCACGACGAGGAATGTTAAAATCACGCTAAAAAAAATATGCACATGATAATCAACTAATTATTATTAGCAAATGCAAAACAATTGTTACGTATAAAAATTTATACAAAAGTCACACTGACCACATGAACCGACAGAGAAGGTGCTGACTTTCCAATTGTTGAATTTCTCATGCGAACTAAATTTGACAACTCTCCGCTAACTATAAAATATAATCAATAACACATGTATATATATATAATTTTAGTACACGAAAATGTACACCTAACTTTTTGTACCGATTGTACACATGAACAAATTATTTTGTATATACAAAAAAAAGTTGAACATTACAAATTGTTTTTTTGTCACAAACAAATTAGAGAGCAAGTATTAAAAATAATTATTTCTAACCAGGTCGAACAGGAGCTTCCTTGCTTTCCACTTTTGGTGGTATCGGACGCTTGTGTATTTCTGCTTCCACGTTGCACGCTGTTTCTTCTGTTTCATTTTCGAATACCAGTATCCTGGCAGAATTACCATGCGATCTCAATCGTGATCTGCTTGGCCTGTTTCTTGTTTGATCCATGTTTACTGTTTATCCACCAGTCTTGCGTTCAGCAAACAAGATAGCTAAGAATAAATATACATATTTATGCCAAAACAGCCATAATAATCTGACACACACAAAACATAAAATTTACATAATTTAGAATAAATCTTTTTCTTTGCGTTATACATTTTTTACCAATATTTCCTTCTCTTAATTTTCTTCCTCGACACATATACAAGTCTACATTTATTTTAGACATATACAAAAAAAAAAACAACATAACAAAGATATGAAGTTCAACAACAATTTAATACATTCGCAATTTTTCAATAGTAATGAAAAAAAGTATGGTAACTGATTTTTTTATTGGCTCATTGCGGGCATGAATTTCAAAATATATATTAACACGTTCAAAAACATAAACAATTGCACAGGTACGCACCTTTCGATAGAGGTTTTTGAGCGAAAAAACGGAAGTCAAACGGATGCAAAAAAAAAACACCCACATGCAAAATCACCCGCGCGCAATCTTCTTCGATTTTCTCTCCTACACTCTCAGCATCCCTCAGGATTCCCTCGGCACGACGATTGTTGCGAGGTCCTCTCCCGGAATTGGCTCTTCCTGCGAATTGTCTTATGTAGGAGGTGCATCGCGGCTGGCGCGGCCGAGAAGACACAAGGTGGCCTGACGAAGGCGTTGTTAGAAGACAAGCGTCGACAACATACACGACAGATCGGATACGGGCTCTAATGCTGAAAGAACTCTCTTCGTTGCGAGACTACGGAGAGATGTGCGAAAAATGAAAGATGACACGAAAATCACACTCACGAAGAAGGTGAGTACGGCGCGACACTAATGGTACGCGACCACGCGACGACGACCGACGACACAGACGACGACGACGGAAGCGACGATCAAAGGGCTGCGATTACCGATTATCGTCATCTGAGCCATCTTTTCTAACGCCAGAGGGATCTCTCCTTGGATGAGGATGCGAGAACGGGCTTCCCACGTGCAACCCGGGAGTCACAGTCGCATTTCCTGTCTCTGTCGTCGGCGTGTGGGAGATTTAATTACGGAAAGCGACCGGAGAGAGGCGAGCACAAACTTCTGTGACTCATGACGTACGTACACATACACGCGCACACACACACGCGCGCTCGCGCGCGCGCGCGCGCATACGGCACGTACACACAACAATAAGAAAAACGGCGCACACGCACACGCAACTTCCGCGAGCCCTTACAGGCGAGGTGACAAAAATTTTACTATTGTGTAAATCTTGTTTTTTTGCAACTGCACGTTCTGCACTTTTTTTGTGTGTCTTTCTTCTCTTTTTCTATTCCATTCTCAATTCTGTATACACGTACGTCTCTATTTCGGTCTTAGTGCAGAGAGTGTAAGGCGGTGCAAACTTAAAAAAAAAAAAAAACGACCTCTCGCTATTTCGCCATTTTTACACACACTTTGCGGAAAAGTCCCGGCGGGTCATCACGAGAAGATCCATTCTTTCAGTTGCATTATTTGCTCTATATATCGGAGAGAGAAAAAAAAGAAAAGATTTTACCCACACAGCCCACAAAAAACGTTTTTTTCAATAACATAGCAGCAACGTTGCAAACTTGCAAATTGCGGTGCGATCTTGCGAAGATTCTTACGAAAAAGGACTACTGCCGATTACATATAAATAAAGTCAGTAATATAAATATTACTAAGAAAAATGTAATAAATTAAACACAGAAACGCTCGTAATGTAAAAACAAATTAGTAAATGAAAAAGGTCACATCGAGCCAAAAAAAGATATTAATATAAAAATATAATGATTTAATGATCAGCACTTACATATGTAAAAAAAAATACGCAAAAAATATTACTGACAATCACACAAGAATATTATTAGGTATTACAGGAATCACTGAGAATGTTTTACTGGCAATTACACAGAATGCCAGTCATTTTTTCGTACCACTGCCGCAATATATTATTGCCAGTATAGTTCTTTTTCGTAAGGGGAGACATTGAAAAATTATGAAATTGCAAACTTCCCAGATAGCCAAATGTGAAAACTCAATATAAAGCAAATCATTGTATGTAGATTAAGTTGCTCGCCAATTGCTGTTGTGTTGTTTTTCTTTAACGCAACGAAAATGTTTTTGTCAATTCGGTATCAATATGCTGAGTTTTATTTATCAATCAATTGTTGTAGCTCCAATGTTTAGGACATGTGAGTCAGCAATATGTGAGCAATATATGAGCAATAATTTTTATTCACAAGTTGAGAAAAATAATAGAAGTTTATTGCCGATGAGTTGTTGAGAACTTGCTGTTATTATATTTTGAAAACTATTGTTGGCAAGAACATACCGAAAAGAGGATACACCCTTTTGTTATATTGCTGAAAACATATGAGCAATATTTGTGGCAAGTTGCCAACAACTTGCACTCAGTTGGCTATCTGGGCTTCTAATAGTAATATTACAGCAACGTTGCAGAAGCATTGCAAAAGTATTTTGTAATAATAATATTAAAGTCTGATATATGTTGTTGTTGTATTTATTATTAAAGTTTTTTTTATTTTATTATACCTTAAAATATATTTAAAATAGAGATGTTACTACACTTCAAAGAAATATATATCGGAATTACGATAATGTTTGAAAATGTTATCCATCCATCCTCTTACGAAAAAGAACTTTTGCCGATTACATATAAATAAAAAGTCAGTAATATAAATATTACTGACAATCACACACAAGAATATTATTAGGTATTACAGGAATCACTGAGAATATTACTGGCAATTACACAGAATCCTGAGAAAAAATGGATTAGATCTAACTTAAATTTAACGAGATAAAAAAATGAAAAAATAGATCTAATTAGATCCAAATTAAATTTAAATAGATATAAAGTAGATCTAAATAAATATAAAGTAGATCTAAATAAATATAAGTAAACCCTTACGAAAAAGAACTACTGGCAATAATATATTGCGGCAGTGGTACGAAAAAATGACTGGCATTCTGTGTAATTGCCAGTAATATTCTCAGTGATTCCTGTAATACCTAATAATAATATTCTTATGTGATTGTCAATAATATTTATATTACTGACTTTATTTATATATAATCGGCAGTAGTTCTTTTTCGTAAGGGAATGCAAGCACAGGATGTTTGTATGTTTTATTCTTTATTGAAAACCAAAAAATTACAAGTACATTATAATTTTTACTTTAAAAGAGTGACCGCAGATAACCCCTGTTTTTCGCCTTTTGTCGGCCTCATGGAAATCGTTCAATTGTGGTCTAAATGTTAGCTTACGATAATACAATAACGTATGTAAAATTTTAAGATTAGCATAGGAACGGTTTCGGATTTATAGAAGGTCAAAGTTGTGATTAAGTGAAGCTGTAATTCTACACAACGTGGATTAGGGATTAGGGATTAGATTAGGTTTAGTTATATTATTGCAATATGCTACACTGAGAAAAAAATACTATTAACTCAACTAAATGCGTTTAGTTGAGTTTCAGTTTGTTATCTGAAATATCTTGTTTTTTTAATTCAAGCATCCCTTACGAAAAAGAACTACTGCCGATTACATATAAATAAAGTCAGTAATATAAATATTACTGACAATCACATAAGAATATTATTAGATATTACAGGAATCACTGAGAATATTACTGGCAATTACACAGAATGCCAGTCATTTTTTCGTACCACTGCCGCAATATATTACTGCTAGTAGTTCTTTTTCGTAAGGGATATGGTAATAAAGATAACAAATTCATATAAGTTGAATTAACAATAGTGGTAACGAACATATTTAATTCACTAAACCATGAATTGTTTTGTCGAACATAAGTTGTGACAATTTCAAATAAAAGATACTGTTAAAAAAGATGAAATAGGCAATTCTCATTTACTTTAATTGAATATTAATCTGAATGTCTTTGTACTAAGTATTTCATCTAATCAAACTGCTTATTTTTTATAAGCAGACAAAATATTGTGTTGTCCTATTGTGCTGTACATTCAAAGTTACCTGTATTTAAGCAACTTATAATTTTGTTAAAACAACTAAATTGTCTTTCGGTATAATCTAATTATTATATCTATTGAAACATGATATCTTCTTACATTAATCAATATTTTCATTGACAGCCCGTGACCGCTGCATATGAGTTGAATCAAATACTATTTTGTTACTTCAACAACTTTTTTTCTCAGTGTACAATTGCTACATTACACACACATATAATAGCATATTGCAATAATATAACTAAACCTAATCCACGTTGTGTGTAGAGAATCACAGCTTCACACTTTAATCACAACTTTGACCTTCTATAAATCCGAAACCGTTTCTATGCTCATCTTGAAATTTTACATACGTTATTGTATCATCATAAGCTAAAATTTAAACCATAATTGAACGAGATCTATAAGATCGACGAAAGGGGAGCAAATTTTGCGGTCACTCTTTTTTTATTGTACAAATTACAATAAAAAATTTACATTACTTACAATTACAATGTAATTGTAAGTTTTTAGTTTTCAATAAAAATTTAAATTGCACAAACATCCCGTGTTTTTTGCTTGCACATCTGCATGAATATCCAGTTTCATCTTATACTTATGTGTGTGTAATATTGTTGCATTAATTGCAAATAAATTACATCGACAATATTATACTCCGATGTTGCACTGAAATCTCTCAAAGGGCGGACGTTTCAACGTTGCTGCAATGTTTCTGCAACCTGTCGGTGTTGTATGGGAAAAAAAAAACAAACAAGGAATATTGTAATCTGTATACAAAAAATATGATAAAATAGAAATACAATTTATTGTAATAAATTTTGTAATTTGATTTTTCAAATTGATACAAGAGTTTGAATATTTTTCGTTTATTTATTTTTAAACATTTATCCTTTATAATACTTTTAGGTTTTGGATTTTGCGCCAATTGTGTTCGATGCGTGTTTTTTTAGCTTCCGTGTATTTAAATTGAAATTAGATATAATTGATCTTTTAGAGAAAAAACCAAAAAAAAAACACGAAAACATAATAGACAGACCTTTTTGCCGAGGAAAATTGTTTTCGATGACGACCTCACACGTCATTACGCGAGAAAAAAAGATCGTGGTTTTGCCGGCGAGATAATCAGCTTAATCGACGTGCAATCGAGATTCTAAAGTTACATAAGTGCGCTTTCGCATGGGCGTGTCATCAGAGAAGTGGATCGATGACGACCTTGTAGCGCGCCTATTTCAGATATTTGTCAACCACCGACGCGCGAGTCACGCCTATGATGATATTTTTACCTTTACAATGTTTCCGAATATTTACATTTCTTTTGTGTTCCTCTTCCGATCTTTGCCGTCATTCTTCGGATCTTGTTTCCATTGACTGGATCGACCGATCTTGTCTTTATCGGCTGGATCTTGGATCATCCTTCCTTGAAACACAATAGAGATGTAAATCCGACTGGGCAACCTTCGCGTGGGTACATCTTGAGTAATGCTAATGCCGACGCGATACTGTAACTTTTAAACCTTATAATTCAAAAAGTACTTAACAAAAAAGTATTTTATTATAGTATTTTGAAAAGCTCTCGAGGTAAGCTATGACAATATGCAATAAAAATTGGGGGGTTCTGTATAAAAAAAGTCTAAGTGACCTTGCCCTGACTTTGAAAAAACGCAAGGCGCATCAATGGTATTATCTTACGTCTCCTCTATAGTCGCAAAACTTTTGGTCCGAAACATTTGTCGATTTAGCGCAGTGTTTCTGAGATATTTGAGCAAATCTTTTAAAAAATGGGACACCTTGTACAACACACTATACCGTATTGGTGTGTGCCGAAATGCTCCAATTCATAGACAAAAATTTGTTTCATGCATTGTTTGCCAACAAATATATATGGAAAGAAAACAATGGATTGTAAATATTGGCAGATTAGATTCGGATCTGATAAAAGCCTATTTTGTATGTGAGGTGAGTTTTATTTTTCTGTAAAAATTATTATAATAAAATTATTAGTATATTATATTAATTATA